TTTGGGTCTGGGAATGTAATTAGAGCCAAGCCTGGTTGATTTTTTTTTTTTTTTTTTTTTTCAGGAAACCATCGGTGGACCGGGGGGACGGAGGGGAATTCCCCCCCCCTCACAGTTATTCAGGAAGAGAAGAAGTGTTTACAGTGAAAACACATTATTGGCCTCCAGAGCCAACGGTTCCTTAAACAAACAGACTAATAGTCCAGTTTAGATGTACATCTGTCAACTGCAGCGCGGCCTCACGGCTACAGTCGTAAAGACAAAGCTGACGTTTGAAACTTTTTTTTTTTGTTCCTGTTCAAAATGTTTTAAACAAATATTGATTCAGGCTGATTTATTTATCACTTATCTTTGTTATTAACTTGTGTTTCTTTTTTTGTCTGGTACATTAGGTTCCTCTTAAAAGAAGTACAGAGAGACGACAGAGTTGAAAAGACGTGATGACGTGTTTGTTTCGCTGAAGATTCAGAAACAGCAGCGACGCAGGTTGAAGTCAAAGTCAAAGCAACAAAGACGCTCGATTCCAGGTTTAATATTAATGTACGGGAGACGGAGAAAGAAACAGGCGCTGGCTGTGACACACACACGCTAATCCACTACAACAGACGTCACACGTTTGATTGACAGACAGACAGGTAAACCACAGGGCATTCCCAGGTTGATCAGGTGGGTGTGTGTGTGTGTGTGTGTAGCCTCATTATTATTCATCAGGCTCATCTGTATTTGCGTCTCATCAGCATAACCTGGACCAACAGGGAACAGATTAGCATGAGACGAAAGAGAGAGAGAGAGAGGGAGAGAGGGAGAGAATTAATTTTTAGCAAGAAGATCTGAGAAGAGTGTGTGGAGTTGGATGGATGGATGGATGGATGGATGGATGGATGGATGGAGTCGTGCACACATCCATCCTCGGTCTGATAAACAGCCACAGTCTCTGGTTGTTTCTCAGATAAAAGTAACATTAAAGAGAGAATCCTGTGTTAATTTAACATATTGATGTGATCAGCTCTCTCTCTCTCTCTCTCTCTCTCTCTCTGTGTCTGTGCCTTGCTCGCTCTCTCGCTCGCTCAGTTTGTCTGAACTTTTCCCTGAACTCACACTTCAAGTGCTCATAAATAAATAAGTGGGACAAACAATGAAGCACAGTCACTGTGGAGTCAACATCTCATTAGTGGCCACACACACACACACACACACACACACACACACAAACAAGGTTCTGTGAGCACTTCACACACACACACGACTCCCTTAATCTAATCTGGACCATTTCAATCTTATAACCCTAATCCTAATCCTGAGTTCTAATCTGACTTTAATTTTCAAATTTTAATCCCAAATAACCCTAATCCTGAGTTCTAATCTGACCTTTATTTTCAAATTTTAATCCCAAATAAAAATTTCAAACACAACCCCCCAAAACTCCGCCTGTTACTCTGTCTGTTACTCTCTCTGTTACTGTGCCTGTTACTCCGTCTGTTATTTCATCTGTTACTCTCTCTGTTACTCCGTCTGTTACTCTGCCTGTTACTCTCTCTGTTACTGTGCCTGTTACTCCGTCTGTTATTTCATCTGTTACTCTCTCTGTTACTCCGTCTGTTACTCTGCCTGTTACTCTCTCTGTTACTGTGCCTGTTACTCCGTCTGTTATTTCATCTGTTACTCTCTCTGTTACTTTGTCTGTTACTCTGTCTGTTACTCCATCTGTTACTCTCTCTGTTACTCCGTCTGTTACCGCCTGTTACTTCGTCTGTTACTCCGCCTGTTACTCTGCCTGTTACTCCGCCTGTTACTCTGTCTGTAACTCCGCCTGTTACTCCATCTGTTACTTCGTCTGTTACTCTCTCTGTTACTTCGTCTGTTACTCTCTCTGTTACTCCGTCTGTTACTCCGCCTGTTACTCTGTCTGTAACTCCATCTGTTACTCCGCCTGTTACTCCGTCTGTTACTCCGTCTGTTACTCCACCTGTTACTCTCTCTGTTACTCCGTCTGTTACTCTGCCTGTTACTCCGTCTTTTATCTCATGTCCTCACTGAAAAGTACCATGACAAGTACTACACAGTAGTTGGCAGTATTACCACAGAGGTACTTTTAGGACTTGAGTGGCATCAGTGGCTCCTCTTCACTCAGGACATTATCCGTCTCCATTACACTTTTCCATTTTGGCCCCCAGCTCTCCTAAATGATCTGAACCCCCCCCCCCCCCCTCTCCCCCCCCCCCCCCCAAACTCCCTCCCCCCCCCCCCCCCCACGCCGGGGGTGGGGGCCCTCAGCTCCACTACTGCCCCGTTCTAGTGCCACTCCTGAAATCTCCAGGTTCCCAGAGGATGTGGACCGGATGGTCATCCCTGAGGGAACGGCTGCCTCTCCCTCCCTCTCTCTCTCTCTCTCCCTCTCTCTCTCTCTCTCTCCCTCTCTCTCTGCCTCTCTCTCTCTCTCTCCCTCTCTCTCTCTCTCTCTCTGTCTCCCTCTCTCTCTCTGTGGTCTCAGCGGGGCTGACCTGCAGCTCTGTTACACCACACTCTGTACCTGAGAAGCCAGTGATACCAGAAAAGGGTCGGAATATTAAGTGGAGTGTGTGTGAGTGTGTGTGTGAGTGTGTGAGAGAGTGTGTGATTCCCCTGATTGGGGTCAAAGTGTTAAGTATCAGATTAATCAGCAGTAATTGTGTGTATGGTCCATTAAGGTGAAACACCTCAGGTCAACTGTGAGGCTAAACACAGAGCAGCCCACAGTTAGCTACAACTGCCACAGTGAAACTGAAGGCTAGCTGCTAAAACTGAGCAATTAGAACAGGAAGAATTTACCCAATAGAGCGCTCTAGCTAGCTTCAAATCAACATGACTTTAGCGGTTTAAAAGGATACGGGAACATTTTTTGGCAGCTAATCGTTTTCTTAAAAAAAAAAAAAAAGCTCAATAGAAACATTATGCTTAGTTAGCCACAGGTATTGTACAAACCGCTAACAAAAATATATATTTTTATTCATGATTTATCGCTCACGAGTCAACAATTAAGAAAGCTAACATCTGGGGGATAAGAGCTAGCACGGTTATGAGCTACGACCGAAAGGTCAAAACAAACAAACGAACAAAGCTAAATTGCTTTTTATAATTAATTAATTTTTACCGAGGATCATTAAGATTTAGCTTCCCGTGTTGCTAACAGGTAGCCAAATAATCACAAGGAAAAACAGTTAAAGTTTAAACAAGGAAAACAGAGGCTAAAGCTAACGAGAATAAAAAAAAATGATCTGAAACGTGTGTGAATCTGACCTGATGTAAGGGTTTATGAAGTTTAGCACATGAACCACTGAGGACTGTGGACACGTGTGTGTGTCAGTGTGTGTGTGTGTGTGTCAGTGTACCCATAGAGAAGTGAAACTGGTAGAAATAGCATTTCAACTGTGCAACTCGTTCCCCGGTGCAGATCTTTTTATAGGTCACTGTGTTTGACTGTTTGATTTCACGCCCTCCATCATCATCTTCATCGTCATCATCATCATCATCATCATCATCATCATCATCATCATCATCTTCAATCCTATCTGACTTTCTTTTTTCGTTTTTCTTTTTCAGAACTTCATCCGTCTGTGACTGGAGCTGTTGTAAAGTCGTTCTCTTACTTTTAGAAACTGAAAAGTACTGAACAACGGACACTATACTGGAAAACCAAGGCTCTACACACACACACACAGACACACACACACACTCACACACACTTTTCCCCCCAGTGATCTCTTCAGGCTGATTTTGTATTCAAGTGCTGCTGTGGGCCCAGCAGGCCTAAAGCTCTCTTTGTATTGTTTTATTACCCAGGGGCTAACACACACACACACACACACACACAGAAGATTAGCATATTAGCGTATATTAGCATCCTGTCCGTCAATCGTCTCTGTCTGGTTTTCTTTCACTCACACACTGTCAGGGTGAAGATGAGAAGGAGAGGAAGAGGCCAGGATTAAGGACACATGGGAGGGTTTTTTTTTTTTTTTCAAATTAAAGCCAGATTCCTGATTCTCTCAGTATTTTATACATTTTTTTTGTGTGTGTTTACCTCAGAATTCTGCCTTTTCTACGCAGCATTCTTGGACCACACTCTGAGTTCGGACTCTTTTCCCCAAAGGAACGTTGTTTCTGTCTGATTTTGAATTCAGGAATTCCATTAATCCATTTATCATTTGAATAAAAAAAAAAAAATGAGAATTATACCTTTAAAGAAATCTTGCTTTTAAAAATAACTCCAGATACTGGGGTTTGTTCTCAGAACTCAAGGACATTTGTTACGAAATTATTTCTTTTTTTTAAACAATCATAGAATCGATTTAGGATTTGTTTTTCTGGTTCTTTGAATCTTAAGTTTTGGAGTCCAAGATTAATTTGGATTCCCGATTAAAAACTCAGCCCGTGTCTGCGGTTTTCACCACTTCTCCTTCAAGGGGAGGATGAGGATGAGGAGTGAGAGGAGAAGGTGAGGCTCCGTTGTCTCCCCTCTCTCCCACAGACAGATGGTAAAGTCTGACTCCTACTGCGTTGTCAGGAGTCCAAAGGAGAGAGAGGGAGAGAGAGAGAGAGAGAGAGAGAGAGATGAACTTTTCCTCTGCTTCTCCACCTCCTTCCTTCAACCTCTCCCTCAGTTTCACTGCCAGCCTCTCATCTCCTCACCCATCCTCCCCCCTCTGCCCTCCATCTTTCTTTCTGCGAGTCATCACCGTCTCCATTTGCACCTCTGTTTCTGCGGCTCATCTGTCAAACACTGTGGGTTTTTCTTTTTTGTTGTTGTTATTTTTTTTTTCATCTGCACTTATCTCCTTCTCCATGAAGTTCATCCATCTTTCCTCCTCTCCCCCCACCCCCCTCCTCCTCTCTCTCTCCCCCTCAAGGTTTCTTCAGCGCTCTGGGAGGAAGTTGGCTGCACGGCCAAGTTTGTAAATGAAACACAGAGGGAAAAAAAAAGGAAAAGTAACTTGAACAAAATTGGGGTCAAAGAGCTTTAAATTTTAAAGGAAAAATGTCTGTGGGCAATGAAAATACATTTATATAACAATTTCTGAAGCTTCAGATGGAACCGATGTCAGCGAGGACAGAAGGTACTAACAGTACTAGAACTCACAATAGTACTAGAACTCACAATAGTACTAGAACCCGACGGTGTTACATGTACTCACAAGGAGTGTAAAAATAGTTCACACGTTGACCTGCATGAAAACGTTACTTCCTATGGAACCTTATATTTCTACTCAAAGGAAACGATGAATCATCCTCTACACTGAACTGAGTGACCGTTGACCTCTGACCTCTGACCTCTCCAAACCGTCTTTAACTTTTAGGTCGATTCCTTCGTGAGTTACATTTTCAAACTACAAAGAATTTAAAAAAAAAACATTCTTAGAAATAACTGCATTATGACAGTGCTGGGGCCACACAGTGGAACAAGGGTTTAACGCTTTTGCCTTACAACAACAAGGTTGTCAGTTTGATTCCCACAAGTATCTGATGGCTTTGATAATGTTTTTTTTTTTTCAATAACTATTTGTCAGCCCGTGTCGTGACTAAAATATTTTTTATAAAGGTGGATCATCGAGTTTGTATCATCTATGTGTCTTTATGTTTTATGCTAAAAGTTAGCATTTTTAACTTTAACTTTAAGTTTATAGATGTATAATTTGTAACAGAACCCACAGCTCAGTGTAAAAATGTCAATTCAGACAAAGACTTGAAAGATTCTGTGAAACTTTGATGGATCACGTTCAAACACACTGATGGGAACAATAGAACATTTTTGTCCAGTTGATATAATTTGTGCAATTTGAAGCCTGTAGTTGATTTATTCTAATGTTCTCACCATTTACTCTTACACAGCGTTGGCTCATCTGAGCTGAAATGGTTACAATATTGTGAAATGAGACCCTGACAAAATTTTTTTTTTTCTTTTTCGTTGGAGCTCATGCTGCGGTGTCATGATCTTTCCTAAACAACAGGGGGCAGTATGGCTCTGCCCAAGGCATTATCTCATCATCGACGTTCTCCCGTGTTGGAAGGAAGAAGAGAAAAGGGGGAAAAAAAGAAGCAAAAAAACCCACAAAAAACAAAAAAAAAACAAAAAACGAGAACTTGTTTTTCTTATCTTCGGTCATTTCTGCTCTCATTTTTTTTAATTTGTAAAATCGCTCTTATTAGAGTTGGACTTAAATATCTGTGAAAATAAATGTGGATAAAGTCAAAGACTATGAACATTTCAAACTAAATTAGAAATACATTTATTTTCTGCCCTGTTTGTAAAAAAAAAAAAAAAAAAAAAAAAAAACACCACCACTGCAGCGATCGATTTGATCAGGAACAAAAACAGAAATAAAAATAATATTTTCTGATTTTTTTTTCCAGCAAAATCAATGGTTATAATAATAATAAATAATATATAAATTGTTATATAAAAAAGCCAGAATTTTGATGATAACATTACGATAGTTGAGATCTACAAAAGATGATCTTTAATTTTTATTTAAATGTAGACATGTTTATAAAGATTCAGTTTGTTTTTAATAATTTAATAAATCTATTTTTATGAAGTATTTGTTTTTTTTGTTCAAACGCTGATGTTTCATTGATTTTTAACGTCTTTTCCAAAACTTTCAAGAATAACAAGAGAATTACTTGTTGGAAAGTAGGAATAAAAATAATAATAGCAATAATTGCTAATCTTTCAGAAAACATAAATTGTAACTTATTTTTAGTCAAATGTCGTTGTTCGACTTTATGGCTGTTCGTAGCCTTACGGTGTTTTTTTTTACGGTGTTTTTATGACATTTTTGGCTGTTGTTTAACTAACATTCAGCTGTTTGTCTCGTTTCAGGAGTGAACACGTCACTAACTTTGGCATCATTTGCTGAATGACATCAGAGGTCAGCTCAAGGTCACACAGGAGCAGAGCTTTTTTTTTCCTCTCAGTAAAACTCCAGGATTTATTTCGCTCTTTAAAAACTGGAAAAAGTTCAGTTTGAAATTCTTTGGTAGAAGAAAAAAAGGTCGCAAATTCCAAGCACTTTTAAAGGATTTTAAGCACCTCTAATAACCTGGGTGTTAGTTGGTGTTGGTGCTGCTAACACTGCTGCTGCTAACACTGCTGCTGCTGCTAACACTGCTGCTAACACTACTGCTGCTGCTGCTGCTGCTGCTGCTGTGACAGTGACGTGCAGCATCATTACAGACAAAGACAAAACTATTTCTGTTCTGCAAAAACAAAACAGGATTCAACACTTTGTTGAGCTCTGTTACCAGACAAAGTATAAACAAGAAACATAATTATGGGCTGATTTGAGACAAACAAACCAGCGTGTGTGTGTGTGTGTGTGTGTGCGTGTGTGTGTGTTTGCACGTACAAAAACACAACTACGTTCTGAAAAACGATGATGAGATGAGAAAGAAGAAGGATGAAAGATTCTCCGTCTTATTTGTCACATGACAAATAAATGACACTGTTCACACACACACACACACACACACACACATGCAAAAACCCACACACGTGTGTGTGTGTGTGTGTACACACACTGGTTCAAACGTACAGTTCAAACTCACACTTGGAAGAAACGTGTTTGAAAAGTGACAGAAGTCTCACGCTGTCATTGAACGACTCAGGGCTGTCAGTGGAGTCGATCTCATCAGAGCGTCACACACACTGACACACACACCCACACACACCCACACACACACCGACACACACACCGACTCAAACCAATACACACACAATCAGCTAACACACTCGGCTAACAAGTGTGCAGCAACAACGACAACAACGATGACGACCAAAAATGCAGGTTCTCTCTCACTCACACACACACACACACACACACACACACACACACACACACACACACACGTTGGTGTTGGTTTAGAACAAACGTGATGAAGCTGCTGCAGCAAACGCTAATGAAAACAAACACAGATTTGATGGAAACGAGGACGTGTTCACGTGGGGCAACATTAGCATCGCTAACTGTCACGTCCACCGTCTCCTGGGAGAAACGACGATGATGATGATGATGATGATGAAGATGATGATGATGATGATGACGATGATGACGACGACGACGACGACGATATAGTGGTTAGGTGTGTGTGTCTGCTTCATGGAAGTGTTAAGAAAACACAGACACCAGCGTGTGTGTGTGTGTGTGTCTCTGTGTGTGTGTGTGTGAAGTGAGGATGCTACTAATCACCGTGGCGACAGAGACGGTGGTTACTCACCTCAGCTCTGAGTGCGTTGACATGTCAGAGGTGTTTCCGACCTTTTTTTCTTTTCTTCTCACCCTGCTTCTGTCTCCTGGACCCAACTGCTTTCACAACAAGAGTCGAGAAGAAGAAGAAGAAGAGGAAGAAGAAGAAGAAGAAGAAGAAGAAGAAGAAGAAGAAGAAGAAGAAGAAGAAGAAGAAGAAGAAGAAGAAGAAGAAGAAGAAGAA